TATATTCATATGAAATTTTTCTATTTCCTATATAAAATAATATTCTCCCATTGCCTGAGCAACATATGGCTACTTTGGTTGTGGCTCGTTGAGTTCAAATGACAAGTGTGGTGTCACGTACTGATGTCACGCTTGGGCGTTGCACACATGCCCACAGTATCCTTACGCACAACATTTTTTAAACCGGATATCTGAGTTATGCGGCCTTATCTGACTCGTGCGAAATCAACTTAAAACACATACCATGGCACACCGATGATGCACTCTTTTAATAATTTTTATTCGTCTGTTATTCGTGTCTAATCCTCGTTCCAAATATATCCGTTGATGACTTTGTTCTATAGATTGAGAAGTATACAAAACTGTCAGACCCCACAGTCACAAACAATCAAACGTCCACTTCCGAGAGAGACCGCTTGTTCGGATCGCGCAGGGTATGAACACGATTTGCTTTCCCACACACTTGAGTTATCTAATACATTTGTATATAGAGCATCCGATTGTCGATTGGTGACTGAGAGACGCCTTTATCTCAGTGTGGCGGGTATGTGGCTATGGGTTTCTGTATTGCTATCCAATGTCGCTCCCCACACCGACCTGCTTACACGCCCTCTCAGTTGTTGCTGAAACTGTGCTGAATGGTGCCTGTTGCAGATTTGTGTGATGCAAGTCATGAGCTTAACACCCTGGTCTGCTTACACGCCCTCTCAGTTGTTGCTGAAATGGTGCTGAATGGTACCTGTTGTAGATTTGTGTGGTGCAAGTCATGAGCTTAACACCCCGGTCTGCTTACACGCTCTCGCAGTTGTTGCTGAAACGGTGCTGAATGGTACCTGTTGTAGATTTGTGTGGTACAAGTCATGAGCTCTATTGTAACATGCTTTTGACCTCTTCTTCTTTGATAGAGAACATCGACTCACAACACTCAGCAGCCCGTACTAAGTAGCGCCATCCCCAAAGACTGTGAGATAGTCGAACCTGTCACTCGCCCAGAGGTCCCGTCACTGGACTACAGATTGCGAACACGGTATCTCGACCAGGCCAAGATAGCTATCGATAAGCATGTGAATTCGCTTAAGGATAAAGGTAGCGGGATACAGGTGTTCTCTGCGTTTTGAAAGTGCCGGCCTGGTTTATACTAGAGCTGGAGCCAGGTCTGAAATGAATGCGTGTATCGGGGTCAGTTCCAAAGTGGCTATTATAAATTCATATTATAATGGAACTTTAGATTACTCCAGCCATACAAACTGCATGCGTTCTGTTTCGTGAGTCGTGCTATATCTTTGGGTAGGCATACAGATACTGTGGCGGGTTCTGGCTGGCTAGAATTTCTACCATCTATCGACACGGTATAGCACTTGACACATTTATTGTATCATTGGCATGGATTGTCATTGGAATGTATTGTGTCACTGAAATGTATTGTATCATTGGCATGGATTGTCATTTGAATGTATTGTGTCTTTGAAATGTATTGTATCATTGGCATGGATTGTCATTGGAATGTGTTGTGTCATTGGAATGTATTGTGTCATTGGAATGAATTGTCATTGGGATGTGCTGTGTCATTGGAATGTGCTGTGTCATTGGAATGTATTGTGTCATTGGAATGTGTTGTGCCATTTGAATGTATTGTCATTGGAATGTATTGTGTCATTGGAATGTATTGTGTCATTTGAATGTATTGTCATTGGAATGTGCTGTGTCATTGGAATGTATTGTGTCATTGGAATGTATTGTGTCATTGGAATGTATTGTGTCATTGGAATGTATTGTGTCATTGGAATGTATGCATTGGAATGTATTGTGTCATTTGAATGTATTGTC